CAGGAATTCTGGTGCTTTTTGCCCTGGGATGTATTTCTTAAACCTGTTAGGTAAAACAGTGAATGTTGACTGTTGTCTTCCTGTGGCATTTCCAGGATAAAATAAGAAGGTGTGGCTCTATCCTCTTGTCAAACACCATCTGTCACTCCTGACTGCAGCCAGGACTCGGCTTTTCTAGCAGCTCAGAGCCTCTCTCTGCCTCTGTTGGCTCCTGCCACCCAACATCTTCTACCAGGCTGGGCTTTGCTTTTTATGGGTCTGACATTCTTCCTGCCTCATTCTGAACCTGAAGTCTGCCTGTATGGATATATCCAGACATGAGAAGCCTTCCTTATGGATGGATGATATCAGACAGGTTTCATGATGGCATAAACATGAACAGGCAGACGGGGAAAACGGAACAAAATAGGAAGAATAATTTTAAATGCCATTAAAAATACAGAAAATATTGTAAAGTTTCCATTGCCTTGTGCAGCCTGGTCTGGTGAGAGGTGTCCCTGCTCAAAGCAGGGGATTGGAACCTGATGATCTTCAAGGTCCCTTCCAACCTTCGCCAGTCTATGATTCTATGACTGTGCAGAGCTACTCCCAGCCCTGTGTAAAGTAGAAAATAGTTTACTTTGGTTTGTTTGCCTGTCTTCCTTAATGTTGACAGACAGGTGGGACAAAAGGAGCAGAAACTTATCATGAAATGCCTTCTGCTGCAACTAAAAAATGACAGGACTTCTTTTCCTCTGTTGTACTAGTTAGATCTATATAGTGGATCAGTCGGGTAAGTGCTGGGTTTAATGCTACCTTCTCACCCTCAAGAAAGGATCTCCAAAGTAAGAGATTTGTAATTTCTGATTTATAAGTGAGATAAACTCTCAGTTATAACTTGTAAAATTTATAGATAGACCTAAATAATTACTTCCATGATTACTTTAGATTCTCTTGGTTTAGGCAGCACAGACAGTGTTTTCTTATTTTCCCAGTCTTCTCAAAGACATCAAGAGATTCTGGGACCTAGCAGGAGTGCACAGCTGAGCAAGGTCCTCTGCACTTTCTCAAAGAAACACACGTGCAAATATGTGATTTGTGTCAGTATCACCCACACTTGACCTTTCCCTCAGTGAGAGCAAGATTCCAAATTGCCTCTTGTTTTTGTTAAGGAAGAAGCAATTCTGGAAGCCTGTGAGCTTTAGCATCTAGATCAGAGAGGATTGCCTCAGTACTGACTGTGTTATTTAATGAAAGTTTTAAGTACATCTTGGTGTCACAGACCACGGCTTCTTTTTTAAACCTTTTTTTTTTTTTCCCCCATGTGAAATGTTAGTCGTGTGGTTCTCTTCAGTAGGAGTCAAAACAAAGCACACCCTTGTATCTTGTGCAACGAAAACCCAGCTGTGACAGATTTCATTGTGAGCATCACTCCAAGGGTCTGAACCTTTCTGGACCTTGTAGATGTTTAGAGTGGAGCCCAGAGCTGTTGGCTGTGGCTGGTGACAGCCCTTGGGGAAGAATTTTATGCTTTTGAAATCAGAAGTCCTGGCTGCAATTCATGGAGCTCAGGGTTATTGCCCTGCATACACACATGCTCCCTCTTATCCAGAGCCAGCACCGTGCAGGGTTATTTTTAATTGGTAAATTCAAGGTGTGTTCAGACATTGTATATTTACCCACAACAGAGTGGAAAAAAAAATGTAGCAGTATTAATAACAGGGTGTATGTGTATAAAGAGCACAGCTAGAAATTCATCATCTTGGTAGCGTAGGCACAAGTAAACTTTGTTGGCATCTGAACAAAACAAGGGAAAAGGCAATGTGGGATTTGGTTCAGGAGGAACCACAGAAGCAGCATGTGATACTTGGCAGCGTGGCTTTATGGAAAGTAGGTCTTGTCAAAACCATATCATTTGAGGTTAGGGATTTTTGCTGATAAAGGGAAAAACAGATTTTTGCAACACATTTCAGATAAAGTTGCAGTCGTGATATACAGGCTGAGAGTTCAGGAGCTAGAAGAGCAAAAGACTGCAAAATCACATCTTCAGCAGAAAATCATCCAAATGGTGTCTTGGACACAAGAAATCTCACCTCATCTTTCTGACAATCTGGGGATGTTAACCATGAGTGTCACAAAAAGAAGGGGCTGTCAAAGCACGGGCACGTCTGCATCAAGGTTCTCTGATATGTTGCCACAGGAAGAGGTTTCCAGCAGAGACAGGTAATGCACTTTCCGGAGACAAAACTAAAGCAGGGGGATGAGAGTGAGAGATGCTGAGCATTTTGTAGCCAGCCAGCCCTCTACTCTGCTCTTAACACCGGTTCTCTCTGAAGCACACCATTACTAAAATTGCTCACACCATTTCCAGCAACCCAATTTAGCCCTGCAGGCAATATTTCTTTCAAAAACTACCCTTTTTCTTGCCAGCTCAAAAAGACTTGTAAGTATGAAATAATGTTTGAAAGGTGAAGGGGAATTTCTCATTGGAAGTAATTTCCTCTCTCTGAAGACTCCTTACCCTTCAACCTCACTGTAGTGGATTCATTAATTTCAAGTTCTTGTACATATATATATAAATATATATATATATGTCAAGTCAATTAAATTTCTAATAGCATAATGTCGTGGTTTAGACCAAGCTGGAGACAAAGAACCAGGCAGCTGCTCTTTGACCTCCCCACACACTGTAGGACTGGGAGGAGGAAAAACAACTAGAAGCTCTTGGGTTGAGGCAAGGACAGGGAGGAGGGTTCACTCACCAATGACAGTCACAGGCAAAACCAGACTCAACTCGGGTCAAAAAATCTATTTGATTTATCACAAATCAAGAGGCAAAGACGACAAAGAGAAATCAAAAACCAGCTTAAATACCTGATCCCACCCAGGCCCAAATTATTTTATTTCCAATTTCTCCACCTCAGAACCACAGAGTCACCTTGGTTGGAAAAGACCTCCAAGATCACCGAGTCCAACAGTCAACCTAACACTGACAAGTCCTTAACTAACCCCTATATCC